AGTGTTCCATTTTCCCTTGGTTTTCAACTGCTTTTGTACTGAAGCCCGTATTCTGGTTACCTAGCCTAAATGACTTCCTTTGTCCTAATAGCAAATTGGTCCCCACAGCAAAACAAATTCTTGCTCCTCTGAGAACCTGTGAAATCCCCCAAGATGAAGAAAACCCTGGTACTCCCTCTTCTCTGGAGCCAGATTCTCAACTGACTGCAGATGGCATTTTGGGTGATTGTTGACCACTGTACTTTATCAGTTCTGGAATGGGATGCTATGCAACCCTCTGAGTTTCTTTCATCACCATGTCCCTCTCCCTTGTACACCTGTCCCTCCCCACGGGCTGAAAGGATGCTAGTCAATGACATCCCAGACATGGCCCTGGTTGCACCCTCATACCTTGTTCTACAGTGGCCGGCTCTCCATTCCTGTGACCCAAAGTGTTCTGGGAAAGTCAAGAAGTCACGTGCCTGAAACACTTGCAGGGACAAGGGTCCATCCATTCTGGGGTGGACCAGTGTTTGTGCTCCATTCAGATGCTCAACCAGTCCTAAGAATGGGAACGCTTCAGAATTACTCATAAATGTCGGAAATGTGCTTGCCCCACTTTTGGGAATTAGTTGACGTCTCCTGGTTGACTTCAAGACCGAGCACGCACATCCAGCCTTACAAATTAAAGCCTCATCAGCGGGGTACCATTCACGTTTTTTTACACATTTGAAACTACACCTGACACTTCTCACGCATGACCAGCCACAGTTCACCAGCTTTCCACATCTTCTCGCTTCACGGGTTTGGAATTCTACCTTCCCCACCACCGTCACCATTTTTCCATGTACTTGGGAAGACCCGGGTTACGGGTGGCCTTGGTGGAACTGGGGTTTGAACTCAGGGCCTCATGTTTGCTAGGCAGCCTCCCGGGGACGGCTTTGGCTTCTTTAGAAGGGTTCCCTGCCAGGTGAGAGCTGCATCTAGTCACCTGTTAGCACTGACCACCACCACCCCTGTTGCTGTGCTGTCTTCCCTTCACCCTCTGTTTTGGGGTTCAGGGGGCATCCTTTTGTTTTGTGCAGCAGCCCCAGCATGTTGGAGGTTTTTGGAACGAGCGGATGGATGCACGCCTACGTCTTCACCTTTCCTCACGTTTTCAGGGTGGCCAAGAATGCACCGAGTGGTAAAAAGAAGAGAGCAACTGTCTCTGTGGCTAAACTTGCTAAAGGTTTAACTTTGAATTCCCCAGCGCTGGCAGTTCTATCTGTGTGTCCGTATGTGTGGGGTGTACACACACGTGTGTGTGTGTGTGTGTGTACATATGGTGCACTTGTCGTGTTCACGGATTTCAAGTATGCACATCTGTGAATTCATGTGTAGTGTACATATTTGTGTGGGTGTGTACATTTGTGTACAACCTGTATAAATACATGCATGTAGATATTACATACACATGTGTACGTGCACATAAATTTGTACATGTGACATGCATGCGTGCATGTCTCCATTTCCCCTGTGTCTTCCTAACGGTCATGAAGCAGTCCAGTGTTAACACCTGAAGAATTTAGGGGTTCGAGTGTGGCAGTGTAACGGTATTTGTTGTTTTTCTGCATCTGATATCAGCCCGTGCTGTGACACGCATGACCTGGACACAGGAGTCTATGACACGACTCATGGTGAGCAGACGTGGCTGGGAAGACACCCTAACTCGGTTCTAGTTTACGTTGTCCCGCCTCAGCCTCCATTGTACACACCAGGGCAATGCCAGTCACACAGGCGTCCCTGGTGCAGGAGCACGGGACGTGGCTCCAGGGGTGCAGTGACAACCACTTTCTACCTTTGGGGTTTTATTCAGTGGCGCTTCTTTCTTTTCTGCTCTGGAAGATTTACTTCAAGCGGGGTCTGCGTTTCAAGGCATTAGGGCATTTGCGTGTCACGTGTGACTCCAGACGCTGTGATGGAAGAGTGCAGGTGCGTCGTGGTGGAAAAACAGAAGCAGGCATTGTACCTCAGGCTTCTCCTTGGCCCGAACTCCACTGCCAGGGCCTGGGTCCCCTGCAGCTCCACAGAGCTTCCTCAGTGGTGGTGAAAAACCCATGCAAACCCTAATGAAGCAATCCACCACCAGCTCATCCCCTCCACTTACAGCCTATGTCAGATGCATCGTTCAGCTTTCACCACGAGAAAACCATGCAAAAAGAAAAAATAAATAAACCGAGGAAAGCCATCTAGCAACAAAGAAAGGACGTGTAATTATTTGCACAAAGCATTAGAAAATACTGTGATATTTTATTATTAAAAATGCTGCTGAAAAGTTTATACATATGTGTCCAGCCATATATATCTTCTATCATTACTTAAGGCAAAATCAAAAACAAAATTGCAAAATCATAACCCAAGGAACCATTGAACCCTGCGTGCCTTCAAAGATCAAGAATAAAAGCCTAAGAAAGTATTTTTTTTCGCATTTTTTCGTTTTTTCTTTTTTCTCTTTTTTACAGATAGCAAGTATATTTTTTCTCATAGAACTCTATGAAGCTTCTATAATCTCTTTCCGTGTAGAAATAAGATATCCTTTACGATGTATTAAATTGCTTTGAACACAATCCTCTGTAAAAGCTAAAATTATTCACTTAACAGGAACTTTTTGTCCTTATCCAAATGTCACAAGGCTGACGCACGACTGTACATATTGCTAGCAGAAGACAATTGGAAATACTAACAAATACTGGAATTCACATTACAAACATACCAAACCAACAAAGATGGCGAGCGTGGCACCCTTTCAGTTTAGCCTATTTGCTGTAGCTGAGCTGGGATGGTTTCTCGGTGCAGAATGGCCTGAGAAAAGCTTTAGGTAAAGGATGGAGAGGGGACTTGTCGTCCATGACACTTGCTGGAGAGGAAAGGAACGTAGCCTCACGGGAGCCGAGCTGGGGCTCGTAACATCTCACACACTTAGGTACAGAGAGCTGCTGCCAAGTGCAAAGCAACGTGGCCAACCAGATCGATTTTGTGACTTTCCTAAGTATTTCTAGATGTCCAATCTTTGATGAATCGCTGCAGTTTGTGCAGGGATTTCAAAACTCCGAGGCTGTACCTGCAGAGTGGGAGGTGGGTGGATGGCACCCGTGCACAATGCACCCTTAGCAAGGCATCTGAGTCTGGGTTTCTGGAATTTCTGCAATCGAGCCCAGACACACTATCTGCAGACATCTTGGGCTACTCTTTCTTGGTGGTGCAGCAACTTCTGAAAGATAGAATGCAAAGTAACCACTACCTCTGTGTTTCCTTCCACCTTGTGAGATCCAAGACATCCTAAAGGGAAGTGAAGAGAGGCATTTGCAAAAATGATGAGCTGCTGGGAGGAGCAAAGCTTGCATCCCCAGGTTGCCAATTTAAAGGGGGAGTGGTCGAATGAATTTCTGCATGTTATTTTGACAGGGAAGCAATCTGAATTTCCCAGAAAACCATGCAAACCCCCTTTAATGTTCTGTATTACTTTTTTTTCATTCTTCTATAATAGTCATTAATTGATGACTGCTACACAAATCCATGAAAAGTGATATTTTTAAACAAGCACACGTTGTATCCCGTAAGTGATATTAACAGGAAAAAGAAAAAAAAAAGCCTGCTTACTAATAAATAAGGGACTTACTGCTCAGACATAAAGGAAAGACACATGTCATCTTTCAATCTAGTTAGCAACGCTGAGCAGGTACTTCATCGGCTGAAGCTCGCAGCTGCTGAGGAACACTGCTGTATTGACGTGGCGGGTACACAGCAAAGGCAAGCTTTCTTCTTCTTTTGGCAGGGCCCTGGGGTGGGAAGCAGTCATCCTATACACAGTCAAAGGGCCAGCATCACAGAACGAGACTTGTATTCTTCTTTCTCCCCGCTGTTGGGGTGCGTGTGTGTGTGTGTTTGTGTCTGTGTGCGTGTCTCTGACTCAACGTACTTCAAGCAACGTTCCTCTTGGGGGACCCATTTTGCACTGCGGTTTCACAGAGGCTAAGACACATGCCCTCACACGCACACGCACATGCACACGGTTTTCCCACACAATGGTCTCCTAAGAGCTGGTGCAACCAGAAAAGGAACAGAGGCCACATAGATGGTCCGGGTTCTTCTGTGTGGCTGCACATCTCCCTACGAAGGAAATGAGTTAAAAATCTCATTTGCCACAAGTAATTAAGAACAAAAGCCTGTTTTTGCCAGGGAGGAAATGGAGGTGATACGACTAATGTATATATATTTATATATTTATATACATTCAGAGCACAATGAAAACCACAATCTTGCTAAAAGCTCTTTCAAACTGAAAACACCAGTAAAAGCACTTTTTTCCTTTTTTGTCCCCTGTGTGGGTGTTTTTGTTTAAACTCACAGCTATGTACAGTTTGTAATGGTTTCTACAAAGTTTCTTAGCTATCGTTCAGGCTGGCAAAACATCTCTTTGCACAGAACTGTCTGGGATTTTCTGCATAGTCGATTCTTTTGACTTGAGTAGTAAAATTCCCCCTTTCCTTCTCTCTGGGTTACAGTTCCGTGCACCGGGCGTAAAACCCAATGCCACGTTCTTTGCTGAAGTACAGCCATCCACGACACGGCACGTAAAGAAAGAACTTTGCGTCAACTGGAATTTGTAAAAATCGGATGTTCTTGGCCGAGTTCCAGAAGAGTCAACTGCCAGTGTTACGGTGGGATCACCCTGGCCCTTGGGATCCTGTGTTCAAGTCCTGACACGTCCACTTGGAGTGCTGGAACCCTTAAAGCAGTATGGTGTCACAGGTGTGGACTTTTCTTCACATTTCACGGGGTCAGAAATCGGTCCCGTAACCGAGGGAGGTGCCAGCGGGAAGAGTCTGCAGGGACACGATCACTGCCCTTTTGCCATCTCGTCCTAAGTCGGTGGGCCGGGAAGCTTGCCCAGGTGGAGAAGTTTCCTTTTTGTCGCTCTTGGTGTCGTCTGTATTGCGGGAGGGAGGGAGCGAGGGAAGGAGGGAGGCCAGGCTGGCGGTTAGGAAGGGGACAGCAAAGCTATACCCTGGTGGTCGAGTGTCCGTGGGGGAGGTTTGTGCTGTTCTGCCCCCCGCTGAACGTGTTGAAGGTGTGCAGGGGCTGCAGCCCGGTCAGGGTGTTTGGGATCATGGTGATGGTGTTCGGGGTCATGAGTGGGATGTCGTCGGGGGACCTGCGCAGGGTGAGCGTGTAGTCTGGCGGGCAGGTGAGCCTCAGCGTGTCGTGGGCCTGCAGCGGCTCGCACTCGTGATCGTGTTCCAGCTGCTTCATCTGCAGAGACATGATCTCCTCGTTCTGGATGTGGCCGATGTCGTTCGTGGTATTCCTTTGGGGACTGGGGCGCCGGTGGGTCTCATGGCGTCTCTTGTCCTTCTTGTAGTACAGGGCTGCAAAAGCCAAGATGTTGAGGAAGAGGAGGGATGCCCCCACGGCGATGGTGACGCTCAGCTCCGTGGAATAATCCCGCTTCGTCTCGATGAGGACAGTGGTGTCCTCGGGCCCTGTCTTGTGAGGGTCCTTTGAGTGTTTGGGGTTGTTGGCAGGAGTGATGGCCGGGCGTTTGGTGGTTGGCCAGATCTTGGCAGGTGACCGCCTGGTACCGTAGGGAAAGGACGTCATGTCCGGTGGGGGAACCTTCGTGGTCGTTGAGACGTACTGGAATATCTCGTTCAAGTTGTGCAGGTGGGGAACAAGTTCCAGCCAGAAAGCCACTTTGGTTGCCCGGTAATGGTCCCTCACTCTGGGTTTCAGCCCAATGTGCAGGTACAACTGGTCCTTGGGATTGTACTTGGACCAGGCCACCTCCTCAAAGCGGTTGGGTTTCGTGTGAATGAACTTGGTGTCCTGAGGCACCGGCTGGTTAGGATCGCTGCAGAGAAAGGGGAGGAAAAAGAGAATGGTCAGTCACTTGTGCGTCTCACAGCGAAACTCTGAACCCAGGAGATGGAAGGTAAGACCGGTTCACTGCCCACACTTGTCAGTGAGCACGACGTGCCCAGCAGTGACCGGCAGTGTGCCCCAACCCAAGACGGGCCTGCCATTCCGTCTCTTCTGCAAAGTTCCCTGCCACATTAGTCTCACACCTAAATCCTGATGGTGTTAGTACAGCGTCCTCGTAACCTCGTCACTGCTTTCTAAGCGCGTCAAACCGCTTCAATAGCGAAGGTAAAGACCACATGCCTCTGGGAAAAATGTCAGGATTTCACATCCTTCGAGTTGCACGTCTTAATCTATGGAGGTAAGTTACGGAAATGCTTTTGGCCGCCATAAATGGATGGGTGGGGGACAGGAAAGAAGCCCCCCCATCTCATAAGCATATCTGGCCCCAAACATCAATTGTTTTGATGTCACAAGATCCCGATAAAATGGCCATTATTCACAAAGTGGACATTCTTCTTGTTCAAGAACTGCTTTTGGAGTTCACGAATAGGTGTTGCAGCTTTTGCATTAAAGTACATATTTAAAGTCCTATATTAAAGTTTATATTGAAAGTCAGATAAAACTAAGCTTAGTGATCACAGATCGTTGGTAGCTGTTTTTCTCTGAGACAGACACATTTTATAGACAAGGTCAGGCAGGAAAGGATCAAGCAAGAGCCTATTTGCCGGACAAAGTTTAGTGGAAAGGTATTTTTGGATAGAGGGACATTAAAATGTCTAGGCAACTTTCTTCATCTTTGCAACCAACTTAATGTCGAGACAGTGAATTCTCGTTTCTTCCACTTTTTTTAAGGTTGGTGAATGGAGTGGTAAAACCAGCCCAGTGGGGCTGGGATGTAGGTCTCAGTTCAATGGCAGAGCGCATGCACCCTGACACCCCGAGTTCACCCCCAGAACAGCAGGAAAGCAAAACAAAAAGAAACCAACAACAATTGCCTCTAATATTTTCTTGTAAGCATTCTGATATGATGCACAACAAAACGTCAGCAGGGAACAGCCCCGATCGATCGGACATGATGTAAGACCCGCAAAGCTGCAAGTGTCCCCTCCGAATTGCCCCAGGAGCGGGGACCCCAGTGTCCAGGACCGGAGGTCATGTCTCGGGGGATCATTTGGGAAGCTGCCACAGCCAGTTCTGCACAGAAGGAGGTCCTCCCTGGAGACTTTGCATCCTCCCCCATCAGATGCATCCCACGGGATTCTGCAATGACTTGGCCACTTGGTGCCACCTGTGCTAATAACCAGTTTTGCCTTCTGTCTGGGGGCGGGGGATGGTAATGGCCAGGCCTGGGCTTTCTGCACCTCTCCTTTTCACAGCTGCGACACGTGAGCAAAGTCTTTACTCTACTGGGCCACAGGTTTCTCATCTGGAGAGCAGATGAGGAAATGGATGGGGAGGCGAGAAAGGTTAAAGGTGGTGAAGAGGTATTTTACAGACTCTAAGGATTGAAGCAATAACTAGTGTGTTCTGTAAGAGCACGGAAAGTGCTGCTGGGGAGGGGGACAGGAAGCCGTGCAGTCGTAGGAGAGGACACACGATGAAAATGATCCACGTCCCCCACGTCACCCGTGGCCCCATGTATCGTGTGCTGTGTGGGTGTCCTCCACTCGGGGAGGGTTCTTCCTCCAACTCGAAAATAGCCTCAGGGGAAGGCACTGACTACGCCTGCATTTATTGCTATCATTTAATGTATTATTTTCGTATTCTTGCATGTTTTGGTGAAACGATTCAATAGAATACTGCACGTGTTTTATTTATATTCTGAAATATATATTAAGTTTTTTCTGGTTTTTTTTTTTTTTTTTTTTTACTTTTTGATCATCTTACTTTTGTACTGGGGATACGTTGTGAAGTTTACAAAAGTGTTTACAGTATATCTTAGCTACAATTACACCCTCCATCATTCTCCTTTAAACTTCCTCCTCCCATTCCTAGACTAGTTTCCACAGGTCTCATTTTTCCATTTTCATACATGAGTACATGATATTCCACCATATTCACCCTTCTGTACCATTTCCTATGTCCCCCCACTGCAGTTTTTTATTCTATTTAATCGGAATCTGCCATAGATACATTTTACATCTGCTTTTACTTTTCCAAAAGAAATGGAATGGGGTGAGGATCACTACCGACTGTCCCTAAATCTTCTTGTACTGAATTGGGTCTGCAAAACTTTTATTAAGCACTGGGTACCCAGCAAAAAGAGTATTCTGTTCACATTGGCTTTTAGGCTGTATTTTAAAGGAATTCTGGGTATACTTCAAAGGTAAAGAACACACATATATTTTGTTCTCAAAGAATAGAGTGAAGGATTTGGGAAATCCAGATAAGTCAGTTTTAGCTGAAATGCCATCAATCTCTCTGTTGAAGTTCTCGGAGATGCAGTCAGAATTCTTAAACAAAGACAAACTCTCAGAGCTGCTGAAAGCCCAGCTCATTCTGCCTTGCCAAACCCTCAGACGACAGCAAGATCTGCAAACGGGATATCGCTGCTTTATTTTCAAGGCTTTATTTCAGCATACAAAGTGTTTCAGGTCTTGTGAGTAAAATTAAAGACTGCCATTATTAAGGGCAGTAAGAAACATAAATGCACAAGTTTCTATGGGAGAAGAACCAGTGCCTTCCTTTTTTCCTTACATCCTCCTGTCCTGTTCCATTTAAGATGGGATCTTGACAGCAGGAAGTCAAAAGCAGTTGCAAAGCGATGAATTCCATTTGAAAGAGACAGGTACTATGACTGTCTAAAAATACCAGGGAGGCCTCTCTGCAGACCGTTCAGTGGTGAAAGTTTTCCTAACACTTACCAGGCAGCCTAACTGTCAGTGACAGGGCTGGCTAAGGCTCAGGAACCCTCCCAGGCCGCTTAAGATGCCTTTAGGCAAAGAGGGACACTTTTAAAGCCAGATTGAGGGGAAAATTCTCTCTAAACTGTTCTCTCTTCAAGACTGCAATGGTTGCCATTGCAAATTCAAAAGGAGATAGTATCAGAAACAATGCAAGGAGCTACAGCATTTGGCCATGTCAACAGCAAACTCTTGGGAGCCAAGTTAAAAAAGTGCAAATATGGCGGATTTTATTTGACATCATAGAATGATTTCTCCTGTCAGAGTCCCAACAGCAGTTAAGGCCTCATTTGTGTCAAGTACTTCTCCTTGTCTCATCCTACCTTGTACAGAGACCATGTCTCCCTCACTCCCTTTCCATCCAACTTTTTCTGCACACAGCTCAAATGCCATTAGTCTTAGATCCATAACCAGAGACCTTTGAGGACCAGACGCTCCCCTCTTATTCCCAAGGTTGCCTCAGGCAAGCATCTGATCCCCAACGTGTTTCTTGACATTGATTCTCATGTGTGGATCCCAATTCTGCCAGTGTCTGCAATGAAGCCTCTTTGTATTTCGTTTGCATTTTCTGTGTCTGCATAATTTTAATCTTTTTCTCTCTCCCTGTCTTTCGTTCGCCCTCAATCCTTATTTCCTTCCTTCTTTGTTTTCTTCCTCCTCCTTCCTTTCCCTTCTTCCTTCCTTCCATTTAAGTAATTCATACAATGCTGATTTCCAAAACATGTGAGTCAGAATAAGTGTGTGGCCCTAGTGAAAACCAGGACGGCGTGTTTACGCACGAAGAAAATTTCACGTGTGAATAGTGCAGAAAGACAGCCGGTACTGCAAAGTGTGGGAACCGTCGTGTAAGCACCAACACTTGCAGACAAGGCCGACCTCTGCAAGGGCGGACGCCGAAGACGTTCTTTCCATCGGGAAAATGGGCACGATCCTGCTTCCATAGTGTATTAGGATTGAGCTCTGTCCGCTTCGATTTAAGATACCTCAGAAGGGACCTTGTTTGGAAATAAGAGTCGTGGCCATTGTCACTCAAAGCTCAGATGAGGTTGTCCTGGTGTAGGGTGAGCTCTTTAGCCTAGATGCCAGCTGCCCTTATCAGAAGATGGCATGTGAACACAGAGACGTGCAGAGCGAGAAGACCATTTAATGGCAGAGGCTGACGAAGTCGCAAGCTAAGAGGACTTCTTGCAAATCACCAGGAGCTAAGATAAGCACCAGGAAAATATTCCTCTGCAGGTTTTAGAGTGAGCTCAGGCCTGGTGACACCTCATGGTGGATTCGGAGGCTCCTGACCTGTCAGGTGAGCTCAGCCCCCGCACTACCTGCCTTTGGGACCACAGAACTTCTGAACTGTTTGATGACAGATTTCTGTGGTTTAAAGGATGCAACTCTTGGTCCTTTAAAGCAACTCTAAGAAGTAATTTACAAGGGTTACTTACAGTACTTGACCTCTTGACTGTAATCATTTCCTAAGAAAATTTTAGGTTGCAGAAAGTACCCCTCTCAAATGCTGGCACCTCCTTGTCCCACTGCTGCATTGACAGCTTGTCTAAGACCAAATTTGAGAACCTGACAGCTGAAAGTTAGTATGCAAGTAACATGTTTTCCTCTCTATAAGCATGCCTCACTTTTGCTAAGACTAGAAAATACCCTTAAACCTCTCTCCACAAATACAGCTGGAATTGAAAAGACCAAGCAGTCGCTACGCACAGGGAAACAGGAACGGTGCTGCGTAAACTTCTGTAGCCGAGGGCGACTGTCGTAGGGGAGACTCTTGTGGCAAGCTCACGGTGGCCGGCATCTTCGTGCTTAATCAGGCACAACAGGCTCAAGGTTAACGACATCAGCACGTGCAGGCGGAACCGAATGGTACCTTACTCATTTCCAAAATGGGTATTTACCAGACACAAAGAAAAGATGTCATCACAGTTAAGCAAAAAATTGCATGTGTGCTGGACATGTTCAGACTTGATTTTTCTTCTCATGGTTTCCTAAATAATAGGCAAAATAACTACTTGCTGTAAGTACTGAAGAAGTAATTTAGATGCCATCAGAGAATATAAGCCATGCGTATGTTCTTAGATGGATGGAGAGACAGATGGACAGATGACAGATAGACCGTGGATCTACACTGGGGGCGTATATCACTTGTAAGTATTATGATGCCATTTTATAGATTGAGGTATTTGTGGAGGGCCCTGGAGCCAATCTTTTAAGAACGCAGAGGGATGACTGTGTGTGTGCGCCTACATCTGCGTGCATATATATGTATTATGTGTATATATTAATTATAGATACAACACCTAACCCATGCATCATGATGGAGAGAATATGCATATTTGTATTTCCCTATGATTATTCTGAGATCTACTTCATTCTTGTGCCAATGCAGTGAGGGCGATTTGCAAGGTGGTACAGGGGTCTCCATAACCTTATTATTTAAAAAATGACACAAGGTAGCAACTAGATTTGAAACTGTAACCAGCTTTCAACAGAAGAGTTGAATGTCCACCAATTCTGCACAAGGGGAAACTACAGGAACTTAATCAGCCCTTCGCACACTCGCGGAAATCTTATCTCACGGAAATCTTATCTCACGGAAATGCTCGTTAGGAGTAAAGGAGACATGGATTCCCACGGGTGTTGGGGGAACACCCCTGATTTCCGGCCTGTATAAGGGAGAACACGCCATCATGGGTATGTGACATTTGTAACACAGAACCAAGCAAGGCAGGAGGACAGCCATGACCAGATGCACACAGGAACGTACCCAGTTTTCGCAAAATTCGTCCAGTAGGTCATGACCACGGCGCTCAGCATCACATCATTCTTGGAGAAGTTACAGCTGAAGAGCTCGGTAGGACCAATCATGGGGATGCCAAAGACATACGGGACCTCGTCCCCGTGGGCTGAATCTGCCCAGCTCGGCTTCATCTCACTCTGGCAGTGGTGGTAGAAGGCGTAGAAATAGGTAGGGGAGCCGTACTGGGCGTGGAGGTCAGCGGTGGCCACAGCAGGAGCCACCCACTGGTGGTCAGTGAAGAGAGCCACCAGGGTCTTGCGCCGTGTTTCGGGGTTTTCCTTGTCTGCCCAGTCAGTATACATGAACTTGATGGTCTCCCGCAAGGTGTCCTTTCCTTCTGGGTAGCCGTATAGGTTGTCCACGAAGTTGGACACCGAGAAGTCAAAGTCGTTGGGTGTCACGCCATCCTCGTTGTCAACGATGCCATCAACGAATTTTAAGCCTTCGCCTTGGTTGACGCCAAGCATGATGTCATAGTTGAGGAACTCTCCCTGCTCCATCAGGATCTGAGGGTCATCCGGGATGACATCCCCGTCAATCACTGGGCCAAAGGCAATGTGGTATGTGGCGGGGGTAATGGCCTGCTGAATGAGCTCCTTGTAGTTCTTGATCCGAAGGCATTCCACCATGTCGGTGGTGTCCAGCATGTTACAGCCCACTTTGTCCGCCAGAATCCGCGTGTACTTGGCAGGCTGGTAGTTCACGGCCCAGCTGGACAGGGCGGTGCCGCTCTGGATTATGGCCTTCTGGAACAGCCCTGCAGGGGCGACATTGTGGACATGCAAATGAAAACCCACAGGACAGAAGAGGGGCTTTTCACAGAGCAAAGAAGGCTTCAATTGTGGCTCTGGCATGTGCAATTCTGACTAGGAGCACTGAGCTCCATCAGGGCCTCTTTCACCCCATTTCTGCTTTGTTGCCCTCTCCCCTTGTTTCCCTGACACTCACTTTATGGGGCTGTTATTCTATGCACACACGATTGTGAACACACACACACACACACACACACGCACCAGAATTTAAGAAAATAAAATGACCCTAACACTTTTCCGACAGCAGTTTAAAAAAATGCAATTCCTTGAGCAATCCATGATTTTTAGTGTTTTTACCTCCTCTTCCTTTCTTCCTCGACCATGCATAAAAACCCTCAGAATAAATGGGTCCTCCCTGCCCTAAATGGATACGCTTTGCGTGAGCACAAGGTCTGAGCTCCGGCATCTTAACTGCAAGGCCAGCTTCAGCTTCATTATGGAAAACAAAAATCCATGGAATCAGTTTCAGACTATGAATTTAGGGGTGCATGGATACTAGACTTTTAGTCCAATAAGGAGGTTAGATCTTCACAATTAAAATAAATTATTTTGATTACCCAATTGTTTCAAATAAATAAATTAGCAAGCCATATATCTTCAACTGGGTAAGCCAGTAACAGATTTGTTTTTACTTATTTCAAATCCATTCGAAATTAAGACTTTTACTGCCACATTTTAAAAATATTCCATTTAGTTTGGCAATTGAAAAATCTTAGGTGATTTTACTAAAAAATGTCTTTATGAGCTTAAAATCTTCCATGAGGTCAGTCTACTGTCTGAAAACATAAAGCCTCTATTTTTAACCAGGGCAGAAGAGTGGGCTGTGAAACCACCATGCTGTTTCCTGATCTATCCCTGCATTTTCTGTGAATTCCAGAATGAGTCCACACTGCAAAAAATGCAGCATTCAGTGCTGAGTCCTGAAGTTCTAAGGTGATGTAAGCAATGGAATATGAGAAAGAGATGGATGCAATCAGGACAACGTGATGTTAAACACTGGAGGGTTGCCCAGAGATGACACACAAGATCGACACTTTAAACCAGTGTGCCATTGCCCCAGGTGTCACCAAAGCCACTTGGGGCCATTTCTGTGACAAATGTGCAAGAACTGACTTGAGAGTTTGACTGCAAAAATTAACGTTTTAAAGCACCAAAAGAAATCCTGACAATATGTGACCTGTAAAACACATGCATGCATGGGAACAAACAGAAGGTATAGCTGCACACCGTATGTGTGCTTTGCTACACTGGCTGCTTCCACTTTTGTGTATCTTTCCGACAATTCCCAAATTGTTTCTTGCTGGAAACGCATGTGGTTCCTTACTCCCCATTTTCAATCTGAACCTCTCCAGAAGACTATTTTGTCTTCCACGCGCACTTTGATCTCAATAGGCTAGATAATTAGAAGTGGAATTCCTACAGTTAAAATTCTGGATTATTAAAACCTCATTCTTATTGTGTTGTGGGGTTGTTCTGAAGAGGTGCTTGCAGAGTGACTAAAAAAAAGGCCTTGGCCAAGAGCATAATCCTTCCAGTCTGTTGATTTAAGTAATTATTACCTTTCCTGCAATTATGTTGACTTACTTGTGTGATGTCACTTTAGTTCGTCTTCTGTGTCGTTTGAGATAAGAACTGATTATTTTCTGTTACAAAGAGTAAAAAGGTCAATGTTTTCTGGAATGCTATTGAAGTCCAACAGATGGATTGCTCACTTCCCATTTTTTAAAAATACACTTAATTTAAATACAAGCCTTTTACTGGACATCTCGTTAGCTGTTGTAAAATAAGGAAGTAAGAAATGAGGCTTTTGGAGGACTTCACACAGTCGTCATGAATCATGTCTTGGTCATGAAAAAAGAAAATCCAGGCACACAGTGTTCAGCCACTTGTCCACGATGCTTCAGGAAGTGAAGCAAGAAATGCAAAGCCAAGATACAGCATAATTGCCCTTGGAAAAAGAAAACATATTGACACAACTGGGCATTGGTGCTCACACCTGCAATCCCAGCTACTCAGGAGGCAGAGATCAGGAGGATCTCAGTTTGAATCCAGCCCAGGTAAATAGTTTGTGAGACCCTACCTGGAAAAATCCTTCACAGAAGACGGCTGGTGGAGCAGCTCAAGCAGTAAGAGCACCTGCCTGGCAAGCGTGAGGCCCTGAGTTCAAGCCCCCTTGTACCACCAACAGAAGCAAACAAACCTGAATTACTGAATTACGTGAAGATGAACACACAGAGGGCTTTTCTGTTGCGCTTTCCAGACACTCTCCTGGCAGCTACATCCTACACCTTGCAATGGAGTGCAATGCAGCTCCTTGGATTTGCTCAGCAGCACCCAGACACCTGTATTACCTTCTGAGTAGTGTGACAGGGTCAGCAGGCTCACACAGGACGCTCCAGCCCCAGAGCCAAAGATGGTCACCCTCTTGGGATCCCCACCGAAGGCTCCCACATTCTCCTCGATCCATCGCAACGCCTGGATCTGATCCAGGAGCCCATAGTTGCCTTTGGCCGCCTGGTCACCTGTGCTCAAAAACCCTAGGAAAGAACACAGGACAGTTTTGTCATTAGCCACACACAATCTTCTCTTCCATTTGCACACACCTATCTTCTATTTGTGTATATCTGCTAGCTGTCTATTTATTATCTATCTATCTATCTGTCTATCTATCTATCTACCTATCTATGATCTATCTATGCAGAACCCTCTTAAGGTGTACATGGTTCACTCTCTGACCGTACGTTTTCAGTGACACAGCGGTGAGGTGAGACAAGGAAAGGTTCAATGGATCACCCTGTGCACCCTGTGCACCCTGTGCACCTTCCTTCTCAGAAGTCCAGCAAGCACCTACGAGAAGTTTTCCGGGTCCTGGAGGTGGAGTGGGTGTCAGCGCCCACCCCGGCGAGATTCTCGGTTCAATGTCGTGAGCAGCGCAGAAGAGCAGTTTCGAGGAGGTGATGTGTGCAGAGGGGGACGAGGCATCAGAGAGCACAGAAGCCAAGGGCAGGGCAGCTCTCCCCATGGAGTCGGTAACATTTTCAATGAACTCCTGTTAATACTGAAGTTTGAAGTGCGTCTCAGGCTGCGGGGTGACCTGTTAAATTCGGAGCACTTTTGCAGGGTGCTCACGCCAAGGCCAACACCGAGCCCCGTCCCCGTCTACCTTTGCCTTCAGCACAAATATCAGAGCTACCTACAGAAAATCAGAGTGGTCAACCCCACCCAAGCCAAGTCACATACAGGTTTCCACAATTTCCCCCCAAACCATCACGTGCTAAGGAGATTTTAAGCAAGGCATCAAGGAAGAGTCCCTTTCGAAGTGGCTTACAAGGCAGTTTGGTCATTTGATTTGGTGACCTGAGCATCACTCTCTCTGAGGCTCTGTCACAGTGTGAAAGAAAAATACTGAAAAATACCTTTCTTCTCATGGTGAGAAGCCAGTTTGTGGGGACACACACTGTCTTCCACTGAGACTGAAAATTGTGTGTGTTTTCTCTTCTGTCCTTCCACTGCAACAAAATCTCATCAGACTTTCTGTCCAGACCTGCCCTGTACAAAGTATCAAGAAAGAAAGAAGGAAGCGCAGAAGGAAGGCTGGACGGAAGGAAGGGAACAAGGAAGGGGATCTTTGAAAGCTTTTAACATGTCTACATTCTTACTTGAGTCTCTGAAAATACTCAACTGTATTTATGCTTTTCCCATCTCTTTTTTTACAGGGACCATGTCGTTCATGAATTTCAATGAATGCGTACCAAGTCTCAGCTGTCCACATGTCAAATCAGCACATTTATATTTCTATAAAGATAGACTGATATGGCCCCAAATCACATAAACCAAAAGGACTCCTCAAGCACCAAGCTGTGAGTTCAAACCCCAAAGCCACCCAACCCCAAACCAAAACCAACCAAACAAAGCAGAAACCAGCAACACAACTCCTTCACGTCGCATTCCTAACCAAAGCTGGCAGACTTCCGAAAGGCCCGTGGGTCCCAGCTCCCCAGATTTCAAAGCAAACAAGGAAAGGATGAGGTCGAATACCCCTGGATCCAGACAGCCTTCCTTTCCAGAACATCTTTGGACCAGGAGAGGGATCAGAAACGAGCGGCATGGCTCCAAAGAAAGCACAGATGGCTTCTTGTTGTCAAACGACAGTAAAAACGCCAAGCTTGAGTCAGGACTCACATTGCACCTAGCTGGGAAGCTGCAAGTGCGCTGGTCAGAATTTCCGCAAAAGCAACGCTCCCTCAGGCATTGGCGTCGGAGAACAGTGACCCTAGGGACACTCAAGTCCTCAGCGCCTTCCAATTGGTTGGCAGTTGCTGATTGGGGTTTCGTGCCTAACGTCGCACGCCATCCACATTCACGGCTGAACCTCTTACACCAGCACCCATAAAAGCCACCAGGCCTTGCCTGGGAGCAAAGCCCCCTTCGTGGAGTTTCAGAGGAAAACGGTTGGTAGCGGCATTTTAGGTGTTCTGTAGTTATCATAAGGTAATCCCACTTTTCCTCCATTAAAGGAGGAGGTGATTAATTCCCGAAGCTGTAGCGATTTTCTGGCACAGCTATTCTGTTTGGCACAACCTATTTTCCTCACCTTTTTCCTCTCGCTCACACCACCCACCGGGTGACCTATTTGCTGGTTTTGTTTCAGCACAGGAGCATCTGCAACCCACCAGAAAGTCACCAGGCCCTGTTCAAGCAGCTCTCCACCCTCCCTGACAAAATGGGCCTGCTCTGAACCTCGGGACTGCAGCGAAGATACCCCAGCCTTGGGCAATGGGGTTCCATCAAAACCCTGCCGGGATCTCTGCAAGGTCAGTTCCATCCCCACGTGGTGCAAACGGCCTGAGGGAAACTGGCCTCGCAGCGATTGTCCCTTCTTAATTGTGCAACGTGAACAACGGTAGCTAATCAGCGAGGAAACAGAGTCACAGGCACTGGGCCGGCCAGGTTAGGGGTAGTCTGAGGTGGTTCTCCTTCTTTGCTCAAGGGCTCCTCCCCCAGCCCACAGGTGACAGGAGCCAGGTGAGGATATATTGTCACCCCACCTACAAGTGCCAGGTGGTATAAAAATGGCTGAGCAAGAGACCCTGGCCCTTCTGCTTGTTCCCTCCTCTCACCTGGCAGAATGGGTGACTCTCCTCCCCTCAATTTTCTACCTCACCTTCCACTTGGAAGACCAGGGCCAAGCTCTGGTGAACAGCTGGTGACAAAATACCAGAAAGCCAAGTGCTGACAGAGGCATCTTAGACAACTGTTGCCTGGCTGACCAATTCTCTTCATGGATTCGTGGATGGATCCCAACCCTACACATCCAGACCAAATGGCTCTGTCCGTGAGCGGGGATTTCCTGCACCAAACCCTGCAGGCATTTTTCCCAATGAAAATTTCGTCACCAAGTCTCATCCAGAGTCCTGGGAAGAACACGCATAACAGAAAAACACGCACAGGACCCATGCTTGCTCACTGTGAGGACTTTTAAATAGGTTGCATGGAAAAGGAGCCTGAAAACGGAAATTGCGTTTTCGCCACTCTCTGTTGACATGACAGCTTTCCAGCACATAAAAATTAGCACTTTTCCTCTGGCTTAATATCGCAGCTAGAATAGAAACGTTTCACAATTTGCTTGTGTAATCAACCCGTGCACGCTTTCTCTGCTTTTGCATTGCTTTCAAAGGGCTCCTGGGAATCACTGATGCTCTTCCCAGAGTGCAGGCCAGGGACGGGAAGTCCCGTGGGATGTGTTTACGTGTTGTTAACTTATAGTGACACGTGAAAGACACCTTTGTTCTCCTCCAGGGGACCATCCCTTACATAATTGCAGGGGGGAGCTTTTTGGGGGGTAACAACGACTCAGAAGATGGTCGGGTGAATATAAAGCTAAATCTCTTAGGCTGGAAGCGTGGCTCGAGTGGTACAGCACCTTCCTAGCAAGCGTGAGGACCTGGGTTCAAACCCCAAAAGTCCCTTTCGCACTTTTAGTGTGTGAATACATCTAAAACCAGAGCACAAAGACGAGGTGCACATATAACCGTGTACATACGTGAGTGTGCACGAGTGTACACACACTTACACACCCCTACGTACGTCACACTGACCGATAGGAACCAAACAGGAAATATTTAAATAAGATATTTTCACTGAAAATACTGCTTACTCGAAGTCACACTTGAACCTCACAAGAATTGTAGCAGGGATATGAAAAGAGAATCAGTCAGGCAGATACAAATCTACATTTTATACTGTGTCTGCAGAAAGTCACTCGTGACTTTAATTATTAAAAGTTGAAACAAATTTTCTGACCAGAGTCATTTATGATTTAACCAAAACACAAGGTGTAGTGAAATGGAAAGAAAGCTATACGTTTAAATCCTACAGGCATGACAGGAATGGAAGTTCACTCTTTCCATTTTTAGGCCTTCTTTTTTTTTTTTAACTTAAGGATGAAAGAAGTTTTTGTATCAAATGAAAATATTGCATAAATATTGCACCGGGCAAACTGACTTTGATCTATTTCTTATGTCAGTGGCCTCACTATAAGGTAACTGTAGAGAGCCAGGCACTGGTGGTTCACACCTATAATCCCAGCTACTCAGGAGGCAGAGATCAGGAGGATCGTGGTTCAAAACCAGCTCAGGCACATAGTTCACGAGACCCTATCTTGAAAAGGCCGTCACAAAAAAGGGCTGGTGGAGTGACTCAAGGTGTAGGCCCCAGTTCAAATCCCAGCACAGCAAAAAAAAAAGATAATTGAAAGGACGCACGACTTCTGCAGCACTGGTTTCCAACATGGGGCCCATTAGGCCACCACTGGAACACCTCACAGGATTGTCACAAAAGTGTACTACGTGTGCTCACGAAAGCATGCTGACTTTTGTTTTAATTTTACACAGCTTCTACACGTTGTCAATCCTCTGTGCACCCCAGTTCCTGAACTGGAAGCTGCAATTCTCCTTGCTCTGCACATTTTGGTAGCGTTCCTTTGGCTCCCACTGAATCTCTGCAGCATCGATGTAACCACGGCTGCACAATGTAACAGCCTGCACAAAACCCCTGGGCGCCCTTGGCATTGACCGCTGGCTGTCCCGCCTGCATGAGCTCATCCTATGACAGTCATTGCTTGAGTGCACTCAGAGTCACCCAGAGGAACTGTGAAAAGTAGAAATGGCAGCAAGCTCAGCGTGGGAGGAGGACTCTGTAGGTTGAAGCCACTCCGTGGGGTGTGAGTCATTTGCACAAAGCCATCAGGTGCTTGCATGTCTCTGGAGAAACTCTGGGGTACAAATGTGACGTAGCACGTGACCCACTTTTAGTACTGCAGTGCAACAGGTGTGTAAGACACAGGAAAGGTCTGTACGTATGGGGGGCTGTGATGTGTGACACGGTTGATTGCCATTTCCATTTGTGTACTTATTTTCCTAGTGTGCTGCGCTGAGGATGGAACCCAGGGCCTTCTGCATGCCAGGCAGGCTCTTCCTATCGAGCTGCAACCCTGCTTACACTCCCCACTCATTGTGCATGTGTGTGACAGTCATAG